ATGCCGCCATTAAAACAAAGCTTGCGCAACACATGTTCGATGGTCCGTGAACTATCGCCGTCTATTCATCTCAACAAGAGCTAGAGGCACTGCATCAACTTGCCCCTGTAACAACTAGCTCCGGTCTCCCCTACCTGTGCATCCCTAGTCTGACACAGAGTGTACTTTTCTGGTGATACATATTTATACACGCACACACATTCCTGATATGTAGAAGCTATACGAGTGCTCAGAATTTCTTATACTAGACATTTGTTCATATTCACTTGAATGTATATTGCTTTCCTTCTTATAGCAAATAGCCTGCACTTGTATATTTATTTTCCTTCATTGCTAACTGTTTTCTGTATTTAATACATTCAGTCTTATTATTTTAATCAATCTCTTTGTTTCTCTAGCCTTTCTAAGTAAGCTTAAGAAATACTTGATACCTGAATAAGATCACTTCTGAATTAATATACTTAACAAGTAAGTTAACTTCCTTATTTCCTTTAACTACACATTTCATCCTTTCCTCCTTTCAAACAAATACCTTTGGATACAAGGAAACTTTCCACAAGTCTCAACTTCTGTTCATCGAAAGTTATAATGTATTGAACATGACTATTAATTCATGTAAATTCACACTATAACTTAAATAGCTACTTCTGTTTCATTAATTTATTCAAAACATCAATTTTGACTGCTGGTACTCCATGTTGTTATTCTTTTGTCTTCCACGTTAACAGGATGATATTAAGAGAAAACATGTTTTTAATGTATTAGATAAACCTTTGAAGCATTGCTAATAATATCTTTGAGTCACAATGCAAAATAATGGAATACTAAATACTATAAACACACCAAGGCATTAATATTTGTTTTAACATTTCCTTTACTGTAATCAGTACTATCAATATACTTATTAGAAACCAAAGAAACAAACTACTAAATCTCATATAATACTCAGTCATTATATATATATATATATATATTTGCTTATTTGTATCAAAGTAAGAGTAACATACAACAATTTCAAATGTATATTCTCTAATTCATGTATATAAGCCCATTCACTTTACTTAAGCCACAATGTCTTCCACTGTTAGTGTGATTTAACCTGGTTGAGTAATCAGAAATAATTAATATGTATTTGTTACCTACACATGACATAGGTGGGGGTCCTAAAATACCTATAGCTATCATTTGGAATGGCATGGTTAAACTTGGTATTTTCTGTAAAGGGGCATTCTTTAATGTGGACTATGCTTATGTTTTTGACATTCAATACATGATTTGCAAAAGTTAATAATGTCCCTTCTTATATTTTGTCAACAAAATTTCTTATTGATCCTACTATAAAATTTTGCAAATGTTAAATGTGAAGCAAATGGCAAACTCTGCTGTACTTTTATCTGTGGCGAACTCGCTGTTTCCTCTACTTCTTGTTTTTCTACACAACACATCTCAATATAAAATATATTCAATTTTATCTTTGTATACTTCAATATTTCTTGATGAATTTATTGCTGCATCCTCCTTTTGTTTGTTAATAACATGGTCTAAATCCTATAATTCTTCATTGTCACCTTCACTGTTTTTCTTTGTCTCTTGTTTTCAGTTGTCTATGGAGTTTCCTATTCAATGCATCCACATTAAAATTTTTTCCACATTTCCTTTGTATTACTTTTAAATCATAATTTTACAATAACAACGACCATCTTGCTAACCTGATGATTTATCTTTTAATGCCGTTAGTCATTGTAGGAGTGCATGATCTGTAATGATGGTAAATTTCATACCATACAGATAACAGTAAAATGTCTTGATACCATGAACTACAATCAGCCATTCTTGTTGTGTTACTGGGTAATTCATTTTCACTTTTCCTAATTGTTTCTTTGATATGCTATGAAGTGCTCACTCCCATTTCTGTCTGATATACTACTATTGCATAACCTGAAGTATATGTACTTAAAATTAATTCATTACTGAAATCAGGGTAGCTTAACATTTGTGCCATTAATAGTGTGTGTGTCTTTTTTAAATGCTTCCTGTCTCTTATTAGTCCACTGGAAATCTGTATATTTCTTTGCTAGATCTTTTAGTGGCCTTGCGAGTGGCAAAATGTGGAATGAATCTTTTATAAAATCATACAAATTCCTAAGATGCCTTAAGTTATTTTATTGTTTTTGGAAATGGATAATCTTAACATACCTCTAACTTCTTGGGGTCTAGTTGTTTACACCAACAGTTACCACAAGACCTAAATAATTTACTTCCTTTCTTAGAAATTGACACTTAGATGGGTTTAATTTCAAATTTACTTTTTACAAACTATCAAACACATGCCTTAGTCTAATGATCTATTAACGAGTACTGACAGAACTACTACAAACACATGCCTTAGTCTAATGATCTGTTAACAAGTACTGACAGAACTACTACAAACACATGCCTTAGTATAATAACCTATTAACGAGTACTGACAGAACTACTACAAACACATGCCTTAGTCTAATAATCTATTAACGAGTACTGACAGAACTACTGCAAACACATGCCTTAGTCTAATAATCTGTTAACAAGTACTGACAGAACTACTACAAACACATGCCTCAGTCTAATGATCTATTAACGAGTACTGAAAGAACTACTACAAACACATGCCTCAGTCTAATGATCTATTAATGAGTACTGACAGAACTACTACAAACAGATGCCTCAGTCTAATGATCTATTAACGAGTACTGACAGAACTACTACAAACAGATGCCTCAGTCTAATGATCTATTAACGAGTACTGACAGAACTACTACAAACAGATGCCTTAGTCTAATGATCTGTTAACAAGTACTGACAGAACTACTACAAACACATGCCTCGGTCTAATGATCTATTAACGAGTACTGACAGAACTACTACAAACACATGCCTTAGTCTAATAATCTATTAACGAGTACTGACAGAACTACTACAAACACATGCCTTAGTCTAATGATCTGTTAACAAGTACTGACAAAACTACTACAAACACATGCCTTAGTCTAACAATCTATTAACGAGTACTGACAGAACTACTACAAACACATGCCTTAGTCTAATGATCTATTAACAAGTACTGACAGAACTACTACAAACACATGCCTTAGTCTAATGATCTGTTAACAAGTACTGACAGAACTACTACAAACACATGCCTTAGTCTAATAATCTATTAACGAGTACTGACAGAACTACTACAAACACATGCCTTAGTTTAATGATCTATTAACAAGTACTGACAGAACTACTACAAACACATGCTGGAGTCTAATGATCTATTAAAAAAGTACTGACAAAACTACTACTGGTTTGTTTCATAATATCACCTGGTTTTGCATTTTTTGAAACATCTGCAACTACTTGTTTTCTGTTGGCTTTAAAAATTTCTGCCCAAAGAATTTTGTAAAATCTTTTTGTGTATGTCTGCAATCATGGGCCATATGTTCCTTTAGTCTGTAATTAAAGTATTCTCCCTGTTTTTGATCTCTTCTGAAGCAATTTCTTGCAGATCACATTTAAAGTATTTAACATTTTATACTTTATTCTGTTGTACTATTCTCCTGTTCCTATTTTACCAAACTTTTTTGCTTCATTCATGGTTAATCTCTTTAGATTACTAACTAACCCTTTCTCATAGTTAGGTTTCAATGTGTCTTGTATCGTAAGCTCACTTAACCTGTTACCTTAGTTCTTGTAATTTTTGCCCAAATACTCTGACAGATTTGCTTCTTAACTGTGTTAGTAGATATATATGTTTCCTTATGTTGGTAGGTGATTCACGGCTCGTATATTCACATAGCAATTTATTGCTTAGTAGATTCAAGTTTGGAATTAACTGTAACTCATCACATGCCTTAATAAATCTCATAGCCTCATGTGATGTTCTTAGTCTGAATAGGTCTACTTTTTGTAACCCTGAAATGCATGCTGCCTCATCTGTTACATCTAAAAAACATTCAATATCTTTTTTCTGATTTACATTGAATAATGGGATAGCGTCTGTTAAATATGTGGGTCTGTTTTGTACAGTGGGAACCTGTGGAGGTGCAGCTATTTCTAAACCTACATTTGCCATTACATTGGTTCTTGTTCTAATGCCTCCTCCTATTTCTGGCTTAATTTCTGCCATAGCCATAACCAAAGCTTTTTCTAAGGATTTTTTCCAACTGCACAATTATATCTTAACTACATCATTTTTAGTATGTGATGCCTTATTGCACATCATATATATATATATATATAGGCCTAGTAACAAATGATCCACAAAAATGAAGAATATTCTAATAAATAAATTTATTAATCAACTCTGGAATGGAATTTTTATAATTTTAAGTATGTTTTTTAATGTATATCCACTTGAACTTACTTACAGAGGTGAATTTTCAACTGCACAAATATTTTTACAGGTTTACAATTTGTGATCAACTACACTCAAGGAAAACCTCTAGCCATAACCAAATTCTTACTGTACTTTTACTTCTGAACTAACAAATCTTAAACTCCATTCCCTATTTCACAACCTGTCATTGGTTTTCTTTAAATCCAAGAAACATTGTGACAGTTTGTAACACAGTATTATCATAAGACAATTATCAAGTTACAAATAGTATTTATTTAAATACCAGGAATATGCAGGTAACAGCAATAGTGCACAGAGCACTGACTTGAAGAAGTTTTATGTGAGAATAAGAAACACAGAGAATTGATACTATTTACAATATTACATCAGTAGTACTACATGGTTATTTCACACAAATGATTACTTGATAACTTTAATTCTTATACAATGTTACACTTGAAAAATAATAATAAACTTACTCAAAAGTTGAGGCTTTTTCTATTTTGTATGTTGCTATCTGGACTGACTAAATCTGCTGATTTCTAAGTCTAGCTGACTGACTCAAAGGCTGATTGCTTCTTGAGGGCTGACTTATTTCTTTGATGCTTTACTCTTTTTTTTTTCTGTATTTTTAAACCTGGCATTTATAAATTTGAATCACTGTTGAGTGTGTAGGCTGGTACTGAATAGAATTGGCGAGATAATCCCAAGTTGTCGTACCAAAGCTGAAGTATTTTCATACTGTTCTTAGGAATCTTTTTTTTTTCCCCAAGAGTTGAATCACTTATATGCCATTTTTTTCTGTTCGTTTCTATCAAAGACTACCTTGGTGAACATTATATTGTGGTTCTCTTACAACATCTGTGTGAGTCTTCTTCCATCAAGGGAATCCTCCATCTGTGTTTAAACAACGCGTCTTTTTTAACTCATTTATAACCAAAGGATTACCTTTCACCACTGAAATGGATGTTATAATACAGTGTAATTTCAGTTAGTAGTGCCAGATGGAGCATTTTACAGCTTAACACTTACTTTGGTTATTCATGGTCACTTATTTATTATATATAATGTCACTTGATGACAGTTTTTATTCATCTTTTTGGAGTTGGTCTGACACAAAGTGTTCTTTTCTGGTTTTGTATTTAGAAGTTACATTAGTCCTCGGCATATCTTGTACTAGGTATTTGGTTCATATTCACTTGGGGGATATATTGTTTTCCTTCTTACAGTGTCTAGTGTGTATATATTAATTTTCCTTCACTGCTAACCATTTCCTTACTTTAACACATATTTAGTGTCTTTAATTTAATCAATCTTTTTGTTTCCTTAACCTGTCTAGAAAATGTTTGCTTCGGTCTTTCTTTAAAGGTCACTTCCACCTTTAAGTAGTAGTTAATATCTGAATAGGGTCTCTTCTGAATTAATATACTTACTGAGTGAGTTAACTTCCTTTTTTGCTTCTAAAATACTCGTATATTGTGTTGTAAGGCAATTTCCAACAAGAGACCAATGCAGTACTATTACCCAACTTCATAAATTTATTCAGCTTTTTTTGGGGGGGGACATAGAATCATACTGTTAATTGTGAGGAAGATTTTTAACTTGTATAAATCTGTACTTATTTTCATATTTTAAGAGTTAAAGTTTGAAAGAGATTAACTACAAAATCATGCTTCCAGTATATTTTAATATAAAGTGTATTAGTTCCACATTAGTTCTGTATAAATTATTATAAGCAAACAAAAATACATATAAAAAAAATGTGGAGTATATGTTACACAGTTTTTGCATGGTTTCTGTAAGGAAGATTGTGTATGATAATATGCAAATATTCGGGCATATTTTCTTAGTTATTATTTATTTTTGTGATATACTAAAACTTGCCTGTGTTTGTTGAGTATCTTGTCAACTTTTTCCCATTCCAAAAATAAGGAACTTAATTGTCTTTTAATATTTTTTTTCTAATTATGCTGTATGTTTTAGCTTTGAAAATTGTAATAACTATCAATAAAGTTATTGATAAAATTGGTTTTCTTTGAGTACTTTAGGAATTTTAACACAAAGACATTGTATAGCATATCCAAAGGTTTTTCAAATGTAAGTATGTGAAATTAATATTAAAGATATTATCTATCAGATTAACTTACTAGCTGGAGTACCTGTCCCCTGGGCAGAAGTTAAGTAAATGCATAATTAATGAAAGGTTATCTTAGGATATGAAAAGTTGCTTCCCTTATATATAATTGTAAGAAACGCCCATAAATACTGCAAAACACAAAATGTAAACTGCAAATTTGTATGTATATCTGAGTGGATCCAACAAACCTTCATTCCAAATTTGGTGAAGAACGATCAACAGGGGGCGAAGTAGTTGTAAAAAACGTCCATAAAAACCACAAAATGCACATCTGAAAATTTGTATGTACCCCCACATTGACCTAATGTACCTCCATACCAAAGCAGTTACATGGACATACACGGACAGTGCTATTATATTTATATGAATAAAGCTTCGTTTTTTGTATTTATTCTTTACTTATTGCAGGAAGACTTTTAAATTTATTTATGAACACTGCATATAATATAACATAAATAACACTGTCACTTTGGTTAAGTTTAATTTTTTTTTATATTTTTAAAACCTGCCATTACAGAAATATTGTACATCGAGTTGTAAACTCGTTTGTTTTTCTGCAAATTCCTCCCACAGTTTTGTAATTAGCAGGACCAAACCTGGTAGACAGACTCGAGGGTGTCCTTACCTATATGTTGTAACCTTTTACCAAGGGCAGGTAAAATGTACTTGGAATGTCATCTAGGTTTGCAGGATCACTGAACTAGAACCTCGCATCGGATTTTGTATTTCTGGCCTTCCTTTGTATCCTAAAACAGTGTCCATACTCCCACTTATAAACTAGTAGGACCAAAGGTGGTACGTGGATTTGTTTCCTAACAGGTTTTTTTTGTATGAGTGCCTCCCTTGGTGTAATTATGGATGATGGAGGAGCTTGATATATAAATTCATACTGTTTCCTGAGTATGATCTCATAATGTTGTAAGCATCTTATTATCTCCTACATTATGTGCAACACCGTTAATGCAGGTTAGTTAGCGTTATCTTAAGTTTTTCTGGCGTACCTTACAAGTTGCTAAGATGTATGCAAGTGTGTTGAACTACTGTAATTATAAGCAACCAACTGCTAAGTGCTATTTTTTTGCAGTTCCCAATATTTAGGAAATATTTTGGGAACTATAATATACTTGTCAAAATGCTAAGAAAAAAGCTGCATTTACCTGTGAGCTTGAAAATGTATATATACAAATTTGTGGCCTCTCTATACATACTTTATGGGCTGTAATTTGTGTTACAGTGCTGTAAGCTATATTTTTTTATTTAATTGATGGTTTATAATAAAAAAAAGTATTACGGATATTAATGATAACCTTAGTACTGACAAATTAATATAAGCTTAGGCCCAGGGTTCTAAAATAAGAAGTGACTGTTATTAAAAGATATGACCAAGTGTACACAGCGTGGTCACAAGTAAATAGACACCACCTTTTCAGAAAAAAAAATGAAAATTTTCAGTCATATTCGCATGAATTGATA